GAAGTAACACACAGTTAAGACCTTACCTTAAGGAAAGAACGATAACACTTTTTTTGCCGATACCGCCGTACCTTCGTATGGAAATATGGTGGGATTAAGTTCCTGCGCTTACCTGACGTTTGGGACTTATTAACTGAAATATTATTTCATACTTAAAGAGCTCCTTAGCATAGACGCCAGAAATGTATTATCAAAATATCAACCCAATCGTTTCAAGTGTTAAATGATACTCCTGTATCTCCAGAACATAATGCAGTCGAAATCTCTCTCGAAAACAAGGCCCTCCCCGAGCAGCACACTTGAGGGAAAAGACCATATCTACGCGTGCCGATGTATTATTCTCTGACATGGTTTGATGCTACTCTAGTTTACAGATTTAATGAATGTAACCGAAGAAGTTACAATTCAGAGACTCAACCTTTCGACACTTTGGGGCATATTTTTGCCAAACTTAAGGATCCTGTCGAATCGACGCCATTTATTCTATTCCTTGTGATGACTGTGACAACATGAATACATCGGACAGACCAAACGTCAGTTTGGTACACGTTTGAAAGAACATCAAAAAGCGATTTCCTTTTGCAAAAAGGAGAATTCAGCTTTATCGGAGCACACATGCCTAACTAGCCATACAATTGGGTAGGATAATTCTAAATTATCACCACCAATCGGCATTACCACCAGTGCCTTTGTTTGGAAGCTTGGCATATAAACTCCGCCCACGCTCCTTTAAATCGTGACGATGGCGGCTTATTTCCTGACGCCTATTTACACCTCGTCAGAAAAAAAAGGCAGCTAATTAGTGATCATATAAAAGGACCTCTTGTTGCAGCGTTTAGATCACCCCTGATGAATGCACAAGACAGGAGTGTCGAAACGTTTGGTCTATGAATTGTAACTTCTTCGGTTACATCCATTAAATCTGTAAACCAGAGTAGCATCAAACCATGTCTGATTGTCCACCTGGTTGCCGCGTGAACTTTAATATAATGTATTATTCTCTATTTAATCAAATGAGTTGATAATGTGAATTGGCGTCCGTAAGGAGATTTTAAGGCTGACGTTTCGAGCGTTGGCCCTTCGTTAGAGCGAATCCTTTCATAACAACTTTACTACCTACCGTGAAAGTCATGAAACAACGACTGTTATCGAATCGGGTGTAAGGTTTCAGAAATAGTAAATGTCACTTGAGTAATATCACCGGATATTTCCCGGTGTAACTGAGACCTCGTAGGTCTCGAGATGTATTTAGAAAAATTTATTTGTGAGCAAGCGAAAATGTTGGGGATTTGCTAACATCATGCACTGTTGTTGTATATGTCTCAGTTCTTTCAAGGAAATAGCCTGTCGGAGTTGAAACCTCCACTTGTAGCAGACCGAATAAGAATTATACCTGAAATATCTCCTCGCAGACAGGTGTGCCTCAGGTTTGAGCTTCTTGGCTGTCAAATTGAAGGCGGTAAGCTTTTTACTTCCATTAAATAAAAATCATATAAATGATTTATACAATGTTGTTTCTACAGAATATCCAACAGCGCTTTATAAGACTTGAAATTGAATAATGAGATATATGTTACATGACATCATAACTTCTATAGAGGAAAGGTATCTACCAAGTATCAATTGCTTGAGGCAAGCCATCTGATATTCAATAGAAATTTTCTTGCATTAACGTGATTCATCAGACAGAAAATGTTATGAAATAATTTTTTAAAAACTCTCCTTGAACGTTCCTCACCAATGTCGGTTTGGAAAACTACAACAAAAAAGAACAGGTCACTGTACCTGCTTTAGTGGTATGGTGGATAATCTTATTGTATTTATTCATGGTTTGGTGCTACTCTGGTTTAAAGATTTAATGAATGTAACTGAGAAGTTACAATTCATTGACTACACATTTCGACACTCCTGTCTGGTGCCTTCATCAGGGGTCATGAGGGCACCGGACAGGAGTGTCGAAACGTTGGGTCTATGAATTGTAACTTCTCAGTTACATCCATTAAATCTTTAAACCAGACTAGCATCAAACCGTGTCTGATTGTCCACCTGGTTGCCATGTGAACTTTAATATGTCCATATATGTTATTCACTAGGAACAAATTATCACGAATTTATCACGAAATATCATTCCCGAATAGTTACTGTCATTGTTAAATGAGAGCCTAACATGACATTTCTATTTATTACTTAATTAGCGATTGTCACGTACAAGATGCTCCAAGGTAACTCTCTGGACGAGAGATACAACTTCACTGATTCAAGCTATGATGGTTTGACTGAAGGCCGCTTTCTATTCTTTGGATTGGGAATGCTTACTGATGGACGATTGGCCAATGAAGATCTTACAGTAAATAACGGATTGGGTTGGATTGGCTGGAACATGATAGAGACCCCCAAACCTTACATAATATTTGATTTTTTGAACAAAAGAATCTTCATTTCAGCTACTTTCCATTGTAACGTCAAAGACCAGACACACATCGAGTTGTTTTCCAGAGTTGAAATAAGGTTTGATAAAACAATGTGGAATGGTTCTCCACCTGATCTCATGCAAGAACCCAGGGAAATTTCCATTCCATCATCATCACCATCGATAAACCGCAATGTTACAATCGACCTGTGTCGCCGTGTAGGGAAGTCTGTAAGGTTCAATTTTACCTACAGAGGACAATGGATATTAATCAGCGAAGTTATCTTCAACTCAGGTAACTTAAAAGAGCTCTAAAAGAAAATTATCATTCCTGGTTCTATGACATTTCGCCAACCCTTACGGGTTTTTTCCCCTAAATTTCCGAGGGAGCCTTTGCAGCTTTGTTATCTGTTCCTCTCACCGTCTGGTCGAGACCGCTTTCAGAAAAACGGTTTCTTCGGTAGTGTGGTTTGACGCCACAAGCAGAAAAAGTAAATCAATATTTAATAATTTATGTTAATGACTTTTTTTTTCTTTTTCATTAATTTAATTATTAATTTTTTGATGTGGAAATGCAATATACAGTATGCGGAATCAGTTAATGATCAATTTCCATTATATTGGTTGGAAAAAATTAAATTCAGTTTTCAATTCGTATACTTTGGCTAAATAATCCTTTAATTATAGTTCAAATGATTCTTTAAGGGGTGTCTAATAAAGGTAACATGGCAGTGAACCGCGTTTAGCAGTCCTATCATACTATACTGCGTGTGATTATGTGATTGGTTCGATAATTATTAGACTTGCAGAGTAGGTCAATCTTTATTTCATTGAGATGTATTTAGTCAAATAAAGAAATGCCTATCTTTTATTATTACAGAGCCACTGGGAGGAAGGTCACCTCCAGCAGTTTATTGTGTTTCAAGTACTACACACTCTCGATACACAAGTAGTACCTCGGAATACAGCACAAGTACTCTTAGTAGCACCACATCAACTGAAAGTGAGACATACGAAAATGATTTTATTGTTTACCTTCATAATTATCGTGCTAATTCTGTTGTATTCCCAGTGTCGGTGTTCCAACTGCCTAAAAACCTTTCCAAAAGCTATATACGACATACAAATTAATAAATACTCATACCTACCCGACTTTGTCAGAGATAGAAAAACAACCAGCTTATTTGCAACTGTATGGCACGTAGTGCCTTATCAGAAAAGAATCAAACACTGAATCAACCAATCGGTCAGTTCATCCGGCGTAATAACAAATAACCAGCCTGTTATCTAGTTACACGGTCTTTCCGTTAGTCAGTTAGTCTGTCTGTCTGTCGGTCGGTCAAATAGTCAGTCGGCGTGTGCTACAGCCAACTAAGCTGCTATCATCTTCTACGGAGCGACTACTGCTATCACAGAAAAGAAGCCTGAAAAATTATTTTCTGTACTTGGTAAAATTGCAGCTCATCTGCGAGGAACGTTGTTTTACTTGATTTTCATTCGTAGATCAAATGAAATTTATTTCAGTTAATTAGATGATGCAAAGGTTTTAAGTAATTGAACAGATTAAACAAAAAATAACGATCTGTTTTCATTCAGTTGTAAAATGTTGGTGCAGCCATATAGGCAAGTCATCGTTTGTGTAGCGAGCTCTATTAATGAGTCATTTTTTTTAGCCACCGTTGCTCCATCGGCCGAGGTACCTGATTGGGTGATGTTGATCTCATCTCTGACAGTGCTCTTCGTCATTTTAGTAATCCTCGGTATTGCTTGGTCATTCCGACGGAAGAGACGCCAGAAAAAAGGTAATACATGTATCACAACCTGTCAATTCCTTTTCAAAATAAAAGAATGGCAAGAGAAAAATTTCGTTCAATTCGGATGTTCAATCTATTTCAGAATACAATTTTGTAGACAAAATTACCTTGAGGATATAAAATGATCTCTAACTTGCAAGGGTACTTTCAATTAAGTGTCTAAACTAATCCAGGATTACGTCGTTTTGTTTCCCTTCGCTATCTTCATTATTCAAACACAAAATGGGCCCTGCACAAATCAATCCAATCAATTTGGACAGTTTACCGATCTTACTTTCTTCTGGTGAGCCATTGTGATTGCTTTAGCTTTACTTTCGAGACTCTCCGATGAACTGCGCTTGTCTAAAATAAAACCATGCTATTGAATCCACACGACCACATTATCTCCCTCATTAATAATGGTAATAGGAACGAGTGGAGTCCAATTAGGTCTGTAATCATACGAGTGATTAACAAAATCGAACGACCACGAAGGGGGAGTCCGATTTGTTAATCACTACTATGATTGCAGACAGAATTGGGCGACACGAAGTCCTTCGACCGATTAATCAAAACTATGACAAAATTTAATAAAAGAAACTAGACATAAAATATACGTTTTCATAAAAAAGGCAGTTAATTCGGCGAAATGTGAGGCAACAGCGCGCGCACATGAAGCGTTCTGTCCACTAACACAGGCATGATGTGTTAACTGCCCCTTTAACTGTCCAACTACACTGTCTGATTACGCAATCAAGATACAGAAGAATCTGCCCGAGATGAATATGAAGAAATTGAGCTGTCTCCACCCGCGATAATGGTATGTTTATGTTTTCATTATGAGGGAAGATTTCACTGATTTCGAGAAATTAACAGTTATTCACCGAGGGGGAGGTAAAGATCCAAAACTTTCACTGACACTGAGATGTATAATCACTGAATACAAGAGATGATAATCTCTTGTTTTGATACATAATTATGCTTAAAGATCTACGTTTGTGTATTGTTGATAACGTGTCGATGGAACGTTGGTGAAGTGTCGGTGGAGCGTTCATAGTTTGTTAGCTATTATCATCTATCTTTCACACATCCTTTTAACCAGGTAGATATTGCAGTATTTGTTGAACTCCTCAGCATTTTCATGAAAGACTTAAGACTTAGAATCTGGACTTGGCTTGAGTCGATTGTGCTCGTAAAACTGGCATATTATGCTCCTAGCACTGCTCAAAATTTACGAAATTTAAGCCCGAGTTATGCTCGTTTCTCTAAATTATGCTCCTGGCATCAAAATTATGCTACTTGATTTTTAAGCAAAACAAAGGCAGAGCATCGGGGAAAACACGAAACAAACAGCAACTGATTACTGATTATATTCAATACAAAATTACCAAAATTGTTCACATCGTGGAAGTAAAAATGCAGATTATGCCGGCAGTGCTTTTCTTTGAAAAAAGTTAAAAATTATGCTCGTTTTGCCAAATTATGCTAAAAATTATGCTGGCACAATCGACTCAAGCCTAATCTGGACCCAGGGCTTATCATCGCCGTATGAAACTTTGATTAGTACCCCAAAGAGTCTTTCACCTCTTTTAAGAGAAATGATAAGATATATTAAAGTTCACACGGCAACCAGGTGGACAATCAGACATAGTTTGATGCTACACTGGTTTGCAGATTTAATGAATGTAACCGAAGAAGTTACAATTCATAGACCCAACGTTTCGACACTCCTGTCTAGTGCCTTCATCAGGGGTGATCTAAACGCTGCAACAAGAGGTCCTTTTATATGATCACTAATTAGCGGCCTTTTTTTCTGACGAGGTGTAAGTAAGCGTCAGGAAGCAGACCGCCATCGTCACGATTTAAAGGAGCGTGGGCGGAGTTAATGTGCCAAGCCTCCAAACAAAGGCGCTGGTGGTAACGCCGATTAGTGGTGATAATTTTAGAATTATCCCACCCAATTGTATGGTTGGTTAGGCAAGTATGCTCCGATAAAGCTGAATTTTCCTTTTGCAAAGAAAAACCGCTTTTGGTGCTCTTTTAACCGTGTACCAAACTGGCGTTTGGTCTGTCCGATGTATTCGTTGTCACAGTCATTGCAAGGAATAGAATAAATGGCGTCGGTTCGTTGTTCTTTCGTGACAGGATCCTTAGGTTTGGCGAAAATATGCCCCAAAGTCTGAAAAGGTTTTTGAGCAACTTTAACGTTGTGACTATTCAAAATTCTCTTGATGGGTTCAGTAACACCCTGTATGTAAGGAATAACAGCAAAACCAGTCGCTGGTTCCCTTTCATCAAGAGCGTTACTATTTGTAACTGGTTTTTGGCAGTTACGGAGAAAAGTTTTTATATAGCCATTTGCCTTTAGGACATTGGAAACATATTTCCTCTCTTCAGCCTTCGAATCGAGTGATGATGGTAGACAGTCAGCCCTCCTAAGTAAAGTTTTGGCTACAGACTTCTTATGGCAAATAGGATGGTGAGAATCGAAAGCGAGGTATTTGTCGGTGTGGGTGGGTTTACGGTAGACACTGGTCTCTAAATTACCCTGAACCCCTCTGGACACGTTTAAATCAAGAAAGGGCAAATGTCTATCCTTTTCACGTTCAAGGGTGAATTGGATCGACGGCTCTACTGAATTCAAATGCGACAAGAGGCGCTCCGCTTCATTTCCGGATACCGCAGAAATAACATCATCGACAGGGTTTAACCGGTGAAGTGGCTAAGGCCCTTTGTTCCACGTCTTCCATTACCATGTTAGCAATGACAGCAGAAACAGGCGAACCCATCGCTGTACCAAAAACTTGTTGATAGTATGTGCCGTTATATGTAAATTGCGTGGTTTTGAGGCAAAAAGACAGCAGATGAATAATATCCTCCACAGGCAAAGAAGTTCTTTGTCCTAGGGAAGCATCTTCTCTGAGTCTTTCCTCCGTAACCTTAACGGCAAGATCAACTGGGATTTTGGTGAAGAGCGAAACAACGTCGAAAGATACTAATTCTTCACTAGCGTCAAGAGTTTTATCTCTTATGAAATCCGTAAATTCGCAGGAATTTTTGACAGTGTAATCAGTATTCCCAACAACAGGCGACAAAATTCTCGCAAGATAACCAGAAATTGCATAGTTACTAGAGTAACTCTAGAGATGAAGGACTTTGTTAAATATTTGGGTATAATGATTGATTCTGAACTATCATGGAAGCATCATATTGACTTTATCTGTCACAAAATTAGTAGATCGGTTGGAATAATTGCTAAAATGAGGCATTACATTCCACGGCGTCTTCTTTTGAATTTATATCATGCACTTATTTCTCCTTATTTAAATTATGGTATCTGTGCATGGGGCAACTGTCCACAGACCTACCTCAATAAGATACTTGTTCTGCAAAAACGTGCTCTGCGTTTGATTTATTTTTCTAAACCCAGAGACCATGCAATCCCTTTTTTTATTGAATCAAACTGCCTTCCTTTGCAGTCTTTGTTCTTTCAACAGTTAAGCTATTTAATGTATGACGTTCATGCTAAGACAGCTCCTAAAAGTCTTCTCGATAAGTTTGCGAAAATCAATACAGAACATCATTATAATACGCGATTATCTGCAAAAGAATGCTTCTCTGTCAAATTCTCTAGAACTGAAAAAATGAAAAAATCTTTTACTAGAATCGGTGTGTCTATTTGGAATTCTATTCCACTTTCTGTTAAGACTCTCAACGTTTCTAATTTTCGTAAAAAAATTAAATTACTACTCCTTAATGTTCTAGGTAATGAAGATAATTATTTGAATGTTAAGTTTTTAATAGAATATTTTGTGAAGTTAACCTGATATATTGTATATACCTCTAGTTGTAATTTTAGTCTTTTTCAAATAACAAAATCCCTTGTACTTGAATTTATATGTAAGGTGTTTCTTTCTGTATGTTTTTGTATTTCTTCTTTTCTTTTTTCTTATGTAATTTAATAACGCCTTTAGTTAAAGTCTTGTCCTGCCTAGATTAGCATTGTAGCTATTTGCAGGACATGAAGTTTTGTAAACCTTATATTTCTTTAAATAAATACATGAAGCACGGTGTAGTATAACAGGTAAGCCACAAAAACGTGGACATAAGCCGTCACTACTGTATAACATTTTGTACATAGAGTCACTAATTCTGCCAGCTTTTTTCAAATCAAGCAACATTTTGTTTAACTTTCTTTGAGTTTTACTGGTAGGATCAGAGTTTAAGACAGCATACGTACTCTTGTCATTAAGCAGAGACAAAGCTTTGTCGTCATATTGCTGTTTGTCCAAAACCACAACACAATTACCCTTGTCAGCAGATAATACGAGCCTGTCCGGATCCTTTTTGAGAGTTATAAGCGCATTGAAAACGAGGAAAATTGAACATTGAAACATTGAAAACGTTACAAATAGTAACGCTCTTGATGAAAGGGAACCAGCGACTGGTTTTGCTGTTATTCCTTACATACAGGGTGTTACTGAACCCATCAAGAAAAATTTTGAATAGTCACAACGTTAAAGTTGCTCAAAAACCTTTTCAGACTTTGGGGCATATTTTCGCCAAACCTAAGGATCCTGTCACGAAAGAACAACGAACCGACGCCATTTATTCTATTCCTTGCAATGACTGTGACAACGAATACATCGGACAGACCAAACGCCAGTTTGGTACACGGTTAAAAGAGCACCAAAAGCGGTTTTTCTTTGCAAAAAGGAAAATTCAGCTTTATCGGAGCATACTTGCCTAACCAACCATACAATTGGGTGGGATAATTCTAAAATTATCACCACTAATCGGCGTTACCACCAGCGCCTTTGTTTGGAGGCTTGGCACATTAACTCCGCCCACGCTCCTTTAAATCGTGACGATGGCGGTCTGCTTCCTGACGCTTACTTACACCTCGTCAGAAAAAAGGCCGCTAATTAGTGATCATATAAAAGGACCTCTTGTTGCAGCGTTTAGATCACCCCTGATGAAGGCACTAGACAGGAGTGTCGAAACGTTGGGTCTATGAATTGTAACTTCTTCGGTTACATTCATTAAATCTGCAAACCAGTGTAGCATCAAACTATGTCAGAAATGATAAGGTTATATTTTTGTTATTGCCCTCGTTCACAAATCGGTTAATAAATCTTGTATTTAGTATACACGTTTTGTTTTTGTGTTTCCGTAGGTGCCTAGCGACAGTGCCCAGACTCCTGTATATGCCCAAGTGTCAAGCGCTTGTTCCTACAGCTACACACACCCGTACAAGCCAGTAGAGAAAAATAATGGGAAAGAACACGAGTACGTCAATCAAATAAAGACTGGGGACTACGAAAATACGTATATGCCTCTCACCAATCTTAATATGTCAGCCGAAGATTCTCGTGCATATGCATCGCTTTTGCCGTTTAAAGAGGAAGAGAACAACAACGTTTAGGGCGTTGGTAAATACACTTTTCTCTGTTTTTATAAGAACCCTTTTCATCAGGAAGTTCAGGCTGATTGACCAAAATTTCAAGAACATACCAAGAACACACCCAGGCTGAGAGTCAGTAAAGAACGCCTTTATTTTGCTCAATTTTTTTTTTCGGTCGGAATATGCAAATATATACACGCGCCTCACTGATGCCCGCAATACTAACATGTCAGCTGACAATTCGCGCGCTATGCATCGCTTTTGAAGTCTGAAAAAGATGACAATGGCAGTAAATACGTTAATCAAATACAGGCTTTGAGGCCGGGTTTCCCGACACACGATGAAATTTAATCAGCGTTGGTGTGACTCTTTTCGTATTACAGCCTCTTTATTGGTGTAGTTTTTTCTTTCTGTGATTTTCTTATGATTAGGGTGGTACCGTACGATTTGTAGAGAAATCCATAAAGAGCAAATATTGCCTTTCGAAAACCTATCGACATCATTGATTGCACTCTCAGTGGAACATTATTCTCGAGCTTTAAAATTAGCAGTTTCTGTGGGGTAATCTAGTGTTCCACCCAGTTTTTCTTCAGCCTTTTTGCGGCTTCTCTGAGAAACGAGCGTAAAAGAACGGGTAACTGGTGACGAGGATAAAGCATGTGGGACCTTGAACACTCAGTACACACCCAGTGATTTTAGTCGAGAGACGTTTAAGATTTACTGTCACTGTTGCTTTTTAGTCAGTCTTTATGCGCCTTTTGAAGACATAAGACATGAATCATTTTTATGGGTTGTAGCTTAACAATAACTTTTCCTTTACGGTTGATTGAGAAGAATTATGGTGTGAAATTTGAGTTTATTTCCTTTGTTTGGAAATCGAAACGAATCACAAAAATGATTTTCTTTCTGAAGTAGCTAACATTGTAGCAAACAGTGAATGATTTTTTACCACTCAGAATACATCCCAGAATTGAAATGCCTGGCCCTCTGCTTAATATTCAAGGAACAAAAAGTATGACACATTGCAAAGAAATTAATGACTTCTCACTTGTATTTCAGATTTATGGCTGCTTTAGCACCACTTTCAAGGGAATTCGGAGCGACTAAATGATGCCTGATGTTCCAAGTCTTCTGCTTCCTTGGCATGGAACCCCAGCGTAGTCACCGTCTGAAGATGATCACCAAAAATTTCACATCTAAACTTTAGAGCCTACATTATTAATGATTCTAGTGTCTCACTGTAGTCACCGATAATGTCAGTGCTGAGGTTCAGCAAGGCAGTGTTGCGTGAGGTCTAGGGCCAGATGCAAACCACTTACAATGTATAATAAATAAAATATCGTTTTGAATCAGTTTGAAGGTGCTTCTATGCAATTTCATACGGTAACTATGAAGTATTAACAGTAAAAACCTGGTTTCATAACTGCGCGGTTAAACTCCTGAGTTGAATCTAAAGACGCCAAAAGTTAATCACACCCCGTATTTAGATGTCGCGGTAAAGACCGAGTTAAAATGTTCCAAGCACATAGCATCAATTTCAAAATCTGATAATAAAATTTGGGCTTGGTCATGTAGAGTATTCTAAATTACCCGAAAAGAAAATATGTTGGCCATTGTATGATCCAAATTAAAATAACCTTGCACCTCTTGGGACCTGCACTAGAAGAAAACATCGAACAAGTCCAGAGAACCGAGAACCGTACTCTTTGAGAAAGTTGCGTGACATCTAAAAGAACGACTGCGAAGAACGCTGACTGACGACCAGTAGGAGAGGTTCACAGTCCTCAGTTTCAGTGACGCAGAATTTCTTAAGTTGCCGCTCGCTTTTAAGCTAGCACACTGCTGGAGACCTTGCTTCCTTGTGCCAAGTCGCTTGGAAACCGGGTTATGACTCATCACCCTTCAGTGTCTTTCTCACATCTCTCCCCCTTATCAACAGGGCCGCGCGGATATCGATCGAGTAAAGCTTATAGACCACAAACCGGAAGGGTTTACGAATTTCTGCTTATGTTGGCACCAGCTCTTAACCACTGTGCATGGCTGGGACTACTTATCGGTTCTTACTTGCCCCTTGTAACTCTAGTAGACTCTAATTAAATCTGATCGGTCGACTACGAGCTCCATAGCACACGCTTTTATATTTATTAACGTTAGGCATAACAGAACGTGCTGGCCAACTGACCTTAAAAGATTAAAACTTGTTGTCAAAACAATATCCCAAATACTTTCACAAGAATGTAACAAATTGATATTAATAGTCACCCAATACTTCGGATCAAACGATCACTTTTTGACTTTCATAGACAAAAAAAACAACTTTCATGTGGGTCCCAGGCAAGGTCCGTGGACAAACTACGCACGTCCACTGAAGGAAGTTAATCGAGACAGTCACAATTTGGAAACTCATCGCAATAGCTTAGATCTAAACAACTTTGAACTTTGAATTCAAATCTTAAATAATTGCCTAAGATAGTCAAATGACTGAAATCATAATCTACTTACTGAATAATGTGCTACACTTATATTTTTTAGAAAAACGCGTATGTCGTTGTTTTGTTGCTCAATCGATGCCTTTAACAAAACATTCAGTGCCGCTTAACAATCTTTCTGTAAAAGGGAATAAATAAAACTATACAAGAATCCTTTTAAATTTCCTAATATTGGATAAAAAGTTGTCGAGCTTTTTAGCAATGCAGTCAGTTCAGCTTTTAAAGTCAAAGGCCTGCCTCACTCCACTCCCAAACAACGCAATTCATCATGAACTGACGAAATACTGCAATCAATCAAAGATGGACTATCAAGAGAAGGCAAAATTTAAGGTCAATAATCATCAGGATATTTTTGGGAGTCAGATGAATTTGAAATGCAACTTAACTTGTCCACTCTGGAAAACGAACAAATTATTTTCTGTCCACACTACAAGTATCACCAGTTACAGAAACGTTTGAATGTACCGTTGAGCATGCTTGCAGTCAGGCTTGATAGTCAACGGCGGGCTGGCAAGCATGCTCACCTTCCTCCCATCGAAGAGCAGACGCGCGAAAACAGCAAAAAATCTAGCCTAGCGTTTAAAGAAGACCCAAGTAGTTCGCCGTGGAATTCAAGAAGCTTTGATGTTTAGTTTTACGCAAAGATCTGTTTTCATTTTTCTTTTGGCCGTTCAGTCTAAAACGCCAGGGTGGCGTTTTCAAATCGGGAAGCACTTTTGAAAAGCTCTGTTTCCAGTGCACACAGCCGGATTTGGGTGGGTGGTAAGCAAAATACTAGAAACTGATGCTTTTGTGTTGCGCAATTCACCTTCATATAATTTTTTTGTAATTTGGTGATAAGGAACACGCGGACTGTGTCGGCATATATGGCTAAATCTGGCACTATAGACAATCAAATGAAAGCAAATTAAAGCACTCTTCCTTGTTCGTATTCTAACAGGTCAGTTAAAAAAAAAACATTTCGCAGCGCATAAGACAAGAGTAAGCATCGCGCAGACTATCATTTAACTTGCACGTGGTCAGTACGCGACCTGATCCCGTTGTCAGGGGGTTGTTCTGCGCGCTTAACGTCACAGTGTCCTCAGTTTATGAAACCGGCGCGCGAAAGGTGGATGCGTCATTTCGCAGTTGCTGTTGCCTGCGAAAGTTTACCAAAACTTTCCGTGAAATTTGAAATTGAGTAAGAATAAGATGTACTTTGAGCATCCAGAAGTAGACAAGGGTAAGCATACTCCAAGTGGTTCAATGCTTTAAACAAAATTCGTCAAAATAATGCGTCAGTAGCCTTTATGACGTCAAACACGTGTGGCACGTGCATCAAAATTTTTGAGTCAATTGAGTCAACTGATGCAAGAAGGTGGTGAAGAGATGAGATCGGTTTGCCTTTATAATTAAAATGTATGGAGTGGGGCTAATGCGATTATTTTTTTCTGATACTTCTTATCTATGATTTAAGTCATAGCTATTCTTTCCCTTTCAATAGCTCATATCAGAACGAATTCTGTATGTCGGTTAATATTTATCAGTCTTGCCGAATTTACAAGGACGAGCAGGCATTCTTTTGAGGGAATTTTAAAGCCTTAAACAGTAACAAATTTTCTCTACCCTGTGGTACAGCAGACTATTAAAAATGATGAAAAAGCGAGAAGATCTAACACAGGTACTTAACAAGACATTTTTATTTTAAGGAATTCAAGAGATGTAATGACAGTATCTTCCAATTTGTTTGCTGTTTGATGTCATTTCAGCCTGAACGTTCTCATAAAAAAGGTTCTTTAGAAAAAAAAAAAGAGAGGAAGAGTGTACATTGCCCACGGAGGTAGCACACATCATTTTCTGACCTTTCCACCCCCGATTTGTTGTCCACACCCTCATCAGCCTCTATTTTACTACTGTTTTCAGCTCGCGCTCCAATATACGACTGGATTGAGGTCAACGACCTCCGAAATGTGCATATGGAAAATAACAGGTTGCATGTGTCCTCACGCGCCAAACGATCAATAATTAGTTAACCAAATGTGACAAAGTCAAACTTTTAAGTTAGTTTTAAGTTCAAGTGACTCCGGTTACTTCTGAGACTTATTTGGTTCAGGTACTAATTTAAAACCGATTACATTGCCGTTGTTAATCTGTACTGTTTGTTGCTATCAATCAAAAATAGCCAACAGCTGCGTACGTCAGTTCCGGAGTGAAATTGTTGTCGAAGGGAACCAAAAGCCTTTACTCAAGGGCTCCGACATATCTAAATGAGTTTGAGGTATTTAAATAAGCAACCGATGACAAAAGGAACTGTCAAAACCCTATTTAGACGTGATTTGGACAGTCAAATATTAAATTTTGCTTTCGATTTCGCGAATCATGTAGATGCTCGACTGAGCTTACTTAACTTTGCAAGATGGCAATAGATTTACAAACCTTGATCATTGGTGGTCTTTTTCTCTGTTTTGGCGCACAAGTACACGGGAACGATGGTAAGATAAATAATCTGAGTTTCGACTGAATTAATGTTATACTATTTGCTGCTTTCATATG